TCCGGGGGAGGGGCGGAGCGCCCTCCCCCGGCACGGCGAGACGGACCGTGGTGATCGAAGGGCATGGCGGACTAGAGGTGGGCAAATCTCCCGCGAGCCGCAGTGTACGGACGACGCGGCGGCGACGGCAACGGACGGCCCGGCGGGAGGCGGACTGTCGTGAACGAAGGGTAGCACCGCGCCGTTGCCGGGGGCCCCAAGGTTGCGAAACCTCGCCCAGCGCCCGACGGACAGTCGTAAATTTGCCCGAGGGCACGCCTGCGGCGCGGGCTTCGCAAAACTTGGGGACCCCCCACCATTATTTCGTTACGTCGAACCCCGAAGCCTACTAGTAGCGGAGGTGCTGTGAGAGCACGATTAGCACGAGGTGTTGAGTCTGCCGTCAGCGTCGTCGTACAGGCAGCCACAACGCGCACAGCGATCACCGCACAGCACGCGCAGCAATTCGCGATGCGCCTGCTCAAGTTCGCACTCCTCGCGGCGGCGACCGATGCGCTGCGCACGAATCGCCGCGCCGTGCTGCGCCAGGCGTCGGCGGGCACCCTCATGGTCAACCTGCCGTTCCAGCTGCCGTCGATCGGCCGCGCGGCGGGCCCGGCGACGAACGAGGTCGTGGGGACGGTCAACGGCATCCGGCGGAAGCGCCTCGGCGGCAGCGACATCGTCGTCAGCGAGGTCGGCCTCGGCACGCAAAGGTGGGGCGGCGCGGACTTCAACAGCCCGGACAAGGAGCTCTGCCACAAGCTGCTGGACCGCGGCGTGCTCGAGGGCGGCATCAACCTCATCGACACGGCGGAGCAGGTTTGGCGGCCGCGTCCGTCGATCGCGCGCGCGTCGCCGGCGATCACCCCGTTCCCCCCCCCGCAGTACCCCATCCCGTCGTCGCGGGACAAGCCCGAGGGCGCGACGGAGGAGATCATCGGCTCCTGGCTCGCGGGCGGCAAGGGCCGGCGGGACAAGGTCGTGCTCGCGTCGAAGATCACGGGCGGCCGCAACGTCAACAAGCGGACGCTCGTATCCGACTGCGAGGGGTCCCTGAGGCGCCTGGGCGTCGACGCGCTCGACGTGTACCTCCTCCACTGGCCGGCTCGCTACACGCCGCAGTCGAACTGGGGCCAGTCGCTCGAGTACGACTGGGACCTGGGCCAGCGCGCCGTGCCGTCCGCGGCGTCGTTCCGCGAGGTCGTCGGCGCCATGGGCGAGCTGATGAAGGCGGGCAAGATCCGCGGCTACGGCGCGTGCAACGACAACTCGGTGGGCCTCATGGGCATGCACGCGGCCGCGCGGGAATTGGGCGTGGCGCCGCCCTGCGCCATGGAGAACGACTACTCGCTCGTCAACCGGCGCGTCGAGGAGAACGGCCTCTCGGAGGCGTCGTCGCCGGCGATCTGCAACGCCGGGTTCCTCGCCTACAACGTCCTCGCCGGCGGCATGCTCACCGGGAAGTACGGGTTGTTCCTCGGAGAAAAAACGGACCCGCCGGCCGTCGACGACCCGGACCGCGAGCGCGCGACGCGGAACAACCAG